AATAAAAGATTAACATCGGAAATAATATTCATCAAAAAACAAACACATAGTATCAATAAACAAAATGACACGGAAAAGTTACCCGAATCATATTTTCTGTTACTTAAAATATCGTCCTCTACATAATTTTAGAACTTTCCATTACCATCTCAGTGAATGTATATAAACCGTCGAACACGATTACGTACGAAAATTATTATAACGTTTTTAACGCTGAGCACAATCACATTGACTCTAAATCCTGGATTGCTGTGTATTTTATCGTTCGACGCAGGTTAGTTTGTATAAAAAGTATTATATATCGATCTTTTCAATCTTTTTATTCTTTTTACATATATTGATCTTTATAATTTTTTATTCTCTTGACATGGTTAATTTAGAACTATTATTCAAATTGTATTTTTTAATTAAATTTATATTTTTAATTAAATTTATATTACTTAATATTTTAAATATATTACAATATAAAGTATTCTTGTTATGCTCACATAAAAGAAATTTGTGAACACGATCAATATGATTAATTTTAAGAAAATTTATATATAATTTTTAATAGAAATGGGAACTTTTGCGTCGTATCGAGGTTGAACAAAGAATGTTCCTATTGGCTTTGGTTCATTTATCGGGATCCGGTAGACAATTTGATTGATTCTTTGAACACGGTTGAATCTATCATAATCAAATCTATTTAAGAGCGTTATCAAATCATTTGCTGACAACATATAGAACTTATATTCGTTAATTTTAACTAATTATATGGGTAATAAATTATTATTGACTATTTTTGTAATACTGAGGAAGGTCTAATTTAAGACCGAAACGTCTATTTTATTGTAAAATTTCAAATATAAATAAATTTTCAAGCCATTCTCATCTGGCGTTTGTGGTGTATGCCTTCTTAACTATATTGTGTTACGTAATAATAGTTTTTTGTAATATATATTATTACAATAGTTACATATATATAACCTCTCTTCCGTCAATACAATATTATTTCTTCTTCAATTATTAATGGCACCTGCCTTGAAATAAATTGTCGAAGGATAAGACATGTTAGTTCCGAAGTATATTTATCAATTCCCTAGATTTCCGTCTTTCCGCTACCGTCCTTGGCTAAAAAGTTCACGTGAACAATTTCACATTTCACAGTTGGGAAAGTTACATGATCCCCCGAAATCATAGATGATCATAGAATTCACGTGAAACTTTTCACTTTTCACGTTTCCGCCCTAGAGGAAAAGTTACATGATTGACTCCCTGGGATCTCACTACCAGTGCTGTCACAGTTTAACCATATACAGTTACGACAGTGCCTGAAATTTTTCGTGTAATGTTTCAAGGCGCATGCGTCAACTATACTATCGAAAACATGGCGGTATCAGAATAATAATAAGTGTGTTTGGAGGTTATATGTTTGTATGATTCTGTGATATTATATATTATATAAGTGAAATATTGTTAACGAAGATTTTATTCTTAATGCGTTTTTTTTAATATCCTATTTCGAAGTTATAATAATGAGTAAAGGTGGATTTTCTTGTGTGATGTGTAAAAACATATCTGGACGAAATGCAGGAATAAAGTTTTTTCGTTTTCCAAAAGATCCAGAAATGTAAGTAAAAATTTTCTCTATAAATATGCAAATAAATATATATGTAGTACAAAGTTTATATAATGATATTGAAATTATACAATTATATTTTTGCATAGGTCTAAATTATGGCTCAAATCTTGTAATCGTATGATTGATAGAACAACTGAAGAACTTTATAAAAATTATCGAATTTGTAGTGATCATTTTAATGAAAACATGTATCTTAATGACTTGAAAACTAGACTTCTTCCTGCAGCTATACCAAATGCAACATAGACCACATCATATTTTCTGACAAATCCAACTTGTGACACTTACGTTATTTCAAGAGGTAATATTCTGCTTTATATTTTATTCAACTGAAGCTGACTTTTCATGTGCAACTGCAGCATATGCTGCGACAGCAAAATGCTAACATTGGTTAAAAGTTTTTTTGTGAGCTGATGCTATCCAATCAGTTCTTGAAAGTATGAATCAGATGACGTTTTGCTGCCGCAGCATATATGCTGCGTATGAAAAATTAGCTTGAGAGATACTAATAAATATTTTTTATCACAGAGAATATAGAATTTAGACAGAAATCTTATCAGGAGGAATTAGAAATAAAAGCAAACGAATCGTTATATGAACAAATGGGCCTAGGTGAAAGCAATAATTCTAGTAAGTTTAAACTAGCATAGATGTAGACAATAATTAAAAATAGATTAATGATTATAAAAAATGTCTTATTAATAAATTACCAAATATCATTCTTAATGAACGCTAAGTGACACACAATTAACAGAATTAATATTATAGATGTATTTATTATATGTGTAATAATTATTAGTATTTGTAGCTGATGGGACGCTAATAGAGCCAGATGAGCGTAATATTTCAAGAGGAGAAATTGCCTCTTCAAAACTAGTTCATAAACAAATTCAGACGCCTCAGAATTTGTCTCATGATTCTCCAAGAAAAAATCGATTAAAATCAAGAATTGTCTCATTGCAGCGGGAAAATAGAAAACTGAAACAACAATTGAAAAATGCTCTTACAAAATCAGACAGAGAAGATTTAAAATATTACTGTCAACTAACAGATAAATTTTTATTTCCTTCTGCAGCAACTTTTGTGAAGGAACAAGCTAAACTAAACCAACAATTAACAAAAGGCAAGAAATATTCTATGCAATTTAAACAATTTTGTCTCAGTATATATTTTATTAGTTCTAAGAGTTACAAAGTATTGCGTAATGAACTAATATTACCAAGTCCAAGAACTCTTCAACGATCAATTGAAACGTTACAAATATCTCCCGGACTTAATGATATCATTTTTTATATGATAAAGGAAAAAATTGTCAATTTTACATTACTGGACAGGTTATGTGTAATTTGTATTGACGAAATGTCGTTAAAAGCAAATCTTTATTATAATATTAGTCGAGATGAGGTTATAGGATTTCAAGATCTTGGACATGAAAAGAAATTCCTCCCAGCATGTAATGCGGCCGTAATTATGATAAGAGGGATCTGTAAATCTTGGAAGCAACCAGTTGCTTATTATCTATTGAATTCAACTTTTAATGAAGCAGACGTACAAAATGTTGTACAAGAAGTGATCAGGAAGCTTCAAAATATCGGATTAAAAATTGTCGCACTTGTTACAGATATGGGCAAAAACTATCAAAATATGATTAAGCGCCTTGGTGTAACTTTAGAAGTCCCATATTTTGAAATTAATGGCGAACGTATTCATTATTTAGCCGACCCACCACACTTGATTAAAGCTACAAGAAACAATATTTATATTAATAATATTAAATACAATAGTGACTCAATTTTTTGGAATCATATTGCAACTCTTTATAATTATGATAAAGATCAACCAAATCGATTAGCTTATAAACTAACAGATATTCATGTTCAACCATCAGGGTTTGATCGAATGAAAGTAAAATATGCTGTTCATGTCTTAAGCGCTACAGTGGCAGCTGCCTTGAAAACACTATACGTTATAAATATTTTACCAGCAGTTGTATTAACGACAGTAGAATTTATTGAAAAATTCGATAGTTTGTTTGATATCTTTAACTCATCCACAGTAATAGATAAGAAAAGTTACAGGAAAGCTTTTACTGGAGCACAGCATCAATTACAATTTTTACAGGAAATGTTCGATTATTTGTCAGGCTTAACAGTTTTTTCAAAAAAAGGAAAAAATATTACAAATACGGTTCAAGTTTTCAAGTTTTGGAAATTAAACATAAAATCTCTACAATCACTGTGGACTTATATGCAAACTACTCAGCCAGATATTAAGTTTTTGCTTACAAGGCGGTTGAATCAAGATTCACTAGAGAATTATTTTGGAAAAATGCGAACGTTGAACGGCGCGGCGTATACTGTCACACCATCACAATTTTATTTCGGTTTTAGAAAATTATTTTCTACATTTTATTTGACGACGGGAACTGGAAACTGTGCCGAAGATCGCGACTTAATGCTTATGAATGTTGCTAATTATAAAGCTCAAAATGTACAACATGTTGATGTGAATCAGCAAGATAAAGGAAAACCAATTTTAATTGATGATCATGATTATCGAAACATAAGTCTATCGGAACAAAATGCTTTTCGATATGTTTGTGGATATTTAATGCGAAAGTGTATCATAAAACATTCCTGTGATATTTGCCTTAAGTTTGCGAGAGAATATGTAGACTTGAATAACAATTATTCATATTATTGTTTCTTTCGAGCTTATGAATCTACAGAAAATAATTTGTTTGGTAGTTTGTTAATGCCAACTGATGACTTCGTTACATATATACAAGTTTTAGAAAACAATTTTTTTCAAAATATAAAAACCTTAATATTGCAAAAAGGTGTTGTAGCTAATCTCATTGAAATTTTTTCTCACATACCATTTGCTCATCCATGTCCTAATTTTCCAAAGGAATATTTGATAAGGCTTTTTGCTCGAGTCCGACTTTTTTTTACTTTAAGAAACATTAACAGTACATTCAAGACTCAACGAGGACATAGAAAAGTAATAATTTTGAAACATTGATTACTATTTTATATTTACAAGAAATAATTATTTATTTTTTGAAAACTTTTAATTTGCTACGCATTAATAAGCTACACATTGAAGAGTTTACTTATATTTTGAAAATTAGTTCAGCTTTGTATGTGATATTTACGTTTTGTTATGTTTTATATGCTATTTTTTCTATAAGTATAACGGAATAATATATGTGATAGAACTTTTATGTTAAATACGTTATTATTTTTTATATAAAATATATCAATGTAATTATAAGACTGAAATAAATGCATAAATATGAAAATACGAATGAAATGCATGAAATTAATTATAAAGCTACTATTTACAATCTGGCCTGATGTAAAAACCGTTCAAATTTATCCTAAGATAGTAGTTAATAAAAAATATCATCAACACAAGAGCATTAGTTTTTGATGTTAGATCCGGCGATAAATATCAATCTTAGTATATTTGATTTTATTTTTTCTCTTTTCTTGCAGTAGAATAAACATGATGATTGGTTCACCAGTGCCATCAAAAACCAGATGAAAACAATCAAGCATTTAACGGATGAGTTCGGGGAGACGCTATTAGTGCTATTCGTATTATTCAATGTTTTTTTATTGTTCAATAAACGTAAAATAAAGATAGGGCAACATAAATAACATTAATAGCGTCTCCCGGCCGCAGTCAATAACTTCAGATCTGGATAATTTTATCAAGGAGAATATAAATAATATTCAATTTTTATTAGAATATTCCTATATATATTTTAATTTTTTTATAAATTACATTATTAATATTTCATATTAATGATTAATAATTGTATATTTTTTATACTTTACAACTTTATACTTTATTGTGAAAATTAAATGAATACTTTTTACACTTTGTCCATCGCACAATTGTCAACTAATTATTGAAAGTTTAAAATAACACCCAAAATGTGTGTTTTATTCGTTCAAAATACAATAAATTTCGCAATGTGTGTGTTAATTATTATCTAACCTTATTTTATAATTTAACTTTTTTTCAACTTTTTCTGTGGCTCCTTATATCACCTATTTCATTAATTACAATTGTCTATGGTAGCTAGAAATATTTAAACTCCTTTTTTATATTTCACATCTTTGAACTACACGCCTTTATACTATCCAAAACATGGCGGAGAGTCACATGACTGGGTAACACGAACATCAAAGGTTTCGCCTTTACTGTCGTAACTGTATATGGTTAAACTGTGGCTATGTAGCGCTACCACTGTTCAAGGAGCCAACTGATAGCACTATGAAACATTATCGTGACGCTATTGTTGGTAGCGTTTAACGTCATGAATCGCGCTACGAATGCCTATCGCCAAAGAAGCAGTGTGTTGATAGCGTAGCGTTCGTGTGCTCCATGAACAGCAATACCGTCAAGGCACTAGTT